CCTTTCAGTTTGGGTTAATTTTCATTCGAATTGTTTTTAGGTTGGGTTAAATTCGGTTTGGGTTACTTTCAGGTCGAGTTAAAATTTGGTTCGGATTTCTTTCAGTTTGGGTTAATTTTGGTTTGGGTTGCTTTCGGTTCGGGTTAATTTCGGTTCATGTTGCTTTCAATTCGGGTTAATTTTGGTTCGGAAATGATTTGGGTCAGGTATGGGTCTGGTATCAAATCAAATTTCATTATCATGTTCGGGTCAATATCGAGTTTTGGGTCAGTCAAATCGGTTCGGGTAATCGAGTTCAGACCCTATTTCCGCCCTCCGTGACTTCAGATTCCAGGGGGAACTCGACAAAATCATTCGAGTCAACGATGAGTTCCGATTCGACACCAAGTATTCCTTCCCCTGCTCCGCCGAGACCTCATACCGTTCCAAGCAAGGCAATCTCTACAACCTCGAGAGCCTAGTTTTCTACATCCAAAACCGTCATCTCAAGCACACCAATTACACGCACAACTCTCTTGCCCTCCGCATCCTCGCCATCACCTTCACCGACCGAAAACCCCTCATCGATTACCTCACCTTCAAAGTCTCCACCTCCGATTCCATCGTTTGGAACCCACCCTAGTTCCTCCGACGAGTTTTGACTCAACCCATCTGGGTTCGATCCGTATAGTGCCAAAACCAAAGGTTATAACACCAACGATGTTGTTTTGGATGAAATAGGAGATACCCATTTTAGTGTGAGGATAAAGAGATTGAAAATGCTGATTATATGGGAATTATTCGACCGATTGAGAAACCTTTGAAGGATAGAGAAGGGATTTTGGAATGTAAGAATAAAGATTTTAATAGTGTTCTTGTTGCTGCTACCAAAAGGGTAGAAGAAAGGTAGAGACTTGAGTCTCAACAAAGTATTTTGTGGCCGGTTAAAAGGGTTTCAATTGTTTTCCAACGTGGCAGTCAACCCTTTCAAGTAAGCATTTAATGAGCAACTGTGTTTTCCCGCAAGCATATTAACGTCTATTAAGGTTGACGGATTAATTTGTAATCAATCGATAATATTAATGATTAATTTATAATTTTTGAAACATCAATAGAAAAAATAAAAATTAATTCAAACATTAGTGAATAACTGTGTAGTTTACCCAAAACAATTGAGTAATCCAAGCGCCGGCCACAGTTATTAAAGTTAAATTAGATTGTAAAAATACATCTATGCCATTCCGAATTTTAATTGGAATGAAAACTTAAATTTTAACTTTAACTTTTTTCATTAAATATATTAAAATTAAAGTATTTTCAAGAAAATTAAAAGAATGAATACTAGAGATCTCATACAAGTATAATTTCGTGGATTTCACATTGTATTCACATCAATTGAGATGGAGATGGATATAAATTAAGTGAATAGTTAACGGGTGTGGATGTAAAAAGTTAAACCCGCTGTGGGTAGTAGGTAGGTGATGAGTTTAACACATTATATGTCCCACATCCGCCCTTCCCACATCCGCTCATCCACTAATATTCACTATATAAAATTTTGATCATTATGAATTCAAGTGTAATTCCGAAGATTATTTTATAAATATTAAGATTTTGTGAAAAATGCCATGTAATGTAATTAAATATTATGGTATAAACATTTTTAAAATTGAAATCAGTTGTTTCTCCAACCTCAAACCGATGGATATAGACGGATACAAACATGTACGAGATGGGTGGTGGGTATCCAATTAATTAATGGTGTATAGAGATAAATTTAAAAAATGTATCTGCGTGGACGAGTGTGAATTTAAAAATTTTACAATCATGTGTGTAATGGATAAGCGAAAGATACAAAAATATTAAGTAGATATCAAGAAGAAATATCCGTGCCCGTCCTACCCATCTGCTAACAAAGACCCATTATAAAAAGGGTTCTGTTGCGTTGAGTGCAAAGTAACCTTCGAATGGGCTGGTTAAAAGGATGATCATGCAAAGAGTCTTTGCAACTTATATAAAATTTCTTTTGAATTAACGTTAAATATTTTGATTAATAATTGCATAATTCGTTTGCCTTTTTAATTTATAAAAAGATTTTATTTAAAAATCAATAAAACGATTGATATAATTTATTTCACATATATATATGTATGATTTTAAATTATGTCATATAATGTCGATAATTGAAATCACTTTGATTTCTCATGTAAATCTATATATGATCATTTGTTAAATAACTTTATAAATATACATTTTATGTGAAATATTTTTTCACCCACATTGTAAATGTTACTTAATCTAATTATTAACAATATCTCTAATTAAAGTTTGATATATATATATATATATATATTTATAATTCTCACCAACGAGAATGGTTTAAGTGGTAAACATATCGGTATTGCTTAAGCAAGTTTTAAGTTTAAGTCCTTGTATATGTAGAAAATCTCTGTTGAAAGATTTACCCATAAAAACAGGTGTACGACAGAAGTCAGTCAAAATAATCAGAGCAAAGTTATGAAAATAGGGAGTACAAACAAAATATATATATATATATATATAATTTTCATTTTCATTGTTTTTGTATATTCTAAAAATCATACATAAATGTAACGTGACGTCGGAACAAGAGCAGGAAACAAGACGTGCACCCCACTTTCTCACCTTCCAAACAGAATAAATAAACAGGTAATCTATGTCAAATACCACTCATCTTTATGCTCGGGATCGAAAATGTCACTGACGTTTCAATTTTTCCAATTTTAGCACGGACGTTTATGTTTCACTTCAATTTTTCCACTCCGCCGTTAATCCGTTAACGGCACGATGACATGGCATGGATGGCCGTGACGGCGATGACATTAACGGCTTTGTTAAAGTTATTTAGTCCACGTAACATCTGTATTACCTGAGAAAAGTTATGCTTTTGACTCTATAAAGGTTTAATGAGATAGCAGGATTTCAACTAGGAAGCAAGGAGTACAAAAATAAAGATACGCCCAAGAAAATGTCAATATCTCTCATTCTTGCTTGCTCTTCCTTGGCTGCAATTATCTCTTCATTGTTTTGTTTTTGGGTTTATTACAGTAAGAATTCACGTAAATCCACCAGAAATGATGGGAAGAGCTCAGGTATATTCTTTTCACCCCATACTGTTTTAGTTTTTCTTCATAGTTTTGGGACTTTGAGAGTTAGGGTTTAGAACTGATACTTCTTTTCCCTATGTTTCCTCTTCTTTCTATGGTTTTGGTTTTGAAGATGTTGAAAAAGGGGCTGGACTGACACCATTTTTAGTAAATTCAAGCCTACAAGGACAGTTTTTATGGAAAATAATGCCTCATTCATGGATTATAAGATGCTTCAAAAATCTACAAACAAGTTTCATCAAGGGGCTTTTTTGTCATGGATGTACCTTAATTTGGGTATGTGGTTTGCTCTTAATCCGTTAATGGTCGTGACGTTAATTTGGGTATGTGGGTTGCTCTTAATTGGAATCATGGATGTGCATGTGTACTGTTTTTGGTCTTTTGGGGAAGAGCTGAAGCTGATTAGTTGTAATTAATTGTATAATTTGTCTATTTGGGGGGGGGTTTGGAGCTCTGATCTGTGGCTGGAATAGGGTTAAAGTTCTGAGTTTTTGTTGTAAAATTATATTTTTAAATTGAAATACTGGGTTCGAATCTTGTTGTGTCTCTGGGTTTGGAAAATGGAGGCTAGACTTGCAACTGAAGCTCGTTCATTTTATGGAATGAATCCGATAGATTTGTGGGCGGTTGGGAAAAGGATAGTGGAGTGGGATTTGAACGATTGGAAATATGATGGTGACCTTTTCATTACTAGCTCGATAAATCAAGTGTTTGCTGACGGCATGGGAAGGCAGTTTTTCCCACTCGGTTATGGGATTCCTGGAAATTCATCGAATAGTTCATCGTCATGCTTTGAAGAAATGAATCCTGAAACTAATAAAGGGAAAATGGAATTGGAAAAGAAAAGGAGGGTTATTGTGGTGGAAGATGACGGTGCCAATGAAGAAGCAGGTGGCCTTACTTTAAAGCTCGGTTCCCAAGGTGGTCACGGTTACCCAATCAGTCAAAGTGAGATGAGAGCTTGGGGCGGAGCTAGTGAGAAGAAGAATAAGTTGAGCAGAGGTTCTGGAAATCGCGCAATTTGTCAGGTTAAGGATTGTGGTGCTGATCTGAGCCAGACCAAGAATTATAATAGACGAACCAAAAACAGCTTCAGCTCTTTCTATGGGTCCACATCGTTTTGGTAAGCCTTCCATGTCATCACCGTCACGGCCCGTCCATGCCATGTTATCATGTTGTTAACGGATTAACGGCGGAGTGGCAAAATTGAAGTGAAACATAAATGTTCGTGCTAAAATTGATTAAATTGAAACGTCAGTGACATTTTCGATCCCGAGCATAAAGATGAATGGTATTTGACATAGATTACCCTAAATAAACATTAAACTTCCCCATATCTCTCTCGATTAAATTTCCCAAAAGAAAGAGAAAATGAAAGATTTTGCATGGAAAATACAAAGAAACCACATCTCCAAGGCATTGACAGTTGACACACCCAAAACCAAGGCAGATTAAATCCAACGATTTCTTGGAAATAATAAAGGAATTTTATACTTACTATGCCCAAAAGAAAAAAAAAGTTTAAATCATGCTTCAAGTCCCTGTACTTTATTTTTGAAATCTAAATTATTTTCTTTTAGTTCCAGAATTTAGTCTTTTATTTAAGTTTTTTATAAAGTAAATTCTAACTGATAATATTGCTAATTGATTATCTACGTTAAAATTGAATATATATTATTAATTTAATTTTAAATCAAATATTTTTTAATGTTTCACATATTCAAATTTAAACAGAGCTCATTAATAATAATACCATCATTAAACTTTAATGTTTAAGTCTGGTAAATCAAGATTAGATTCTTATCATAAAAGTAGATGAACTAAATTTAAAGGTTCTGACATTATAATTAATCCAAAATATTTCTTAAACTCTTTCTTTATGTTTCATTTCTTGTTCTTTGCAATTCTTTAGCTTTGATCGGTTAGCATACTTGCTTTCCACTAGCTTCAGTCTCTTTCTCTCTCTCTCTCTCAGCTAACGTTTCTAGAGAGTTGAATTCTTCCATACTTTCTCTTGTTCTTCAAAACCTTGATTCGTTCATATCCATAAAGATCACTGGCCAAAACAAGATCCAAACCCAGTTTTCAATCTTTGTTTGTAATCCTTTAACTTTTTTGTGAGCTCAAAAGCTTGAGAAAAAACCATGGCTAATCTATGGTGGGCGGGGCAAGTAGGGTTACAAGGAATGGAAACATCAGCCACTTCATCATCTCCGATCAAGAAACCAGATCTGGGTATATCCATGACAAACAATGGAGAAACAGGCAGCGGTGGAACCGGCGAGGAAGAAGAAGACAAAGATCATAGCGACGAGCCTAGAGAAGGTGCTATCGAAGTCTCCACTCGTCGTCCCAGGGGACGACCGGCGGGTTCCAGAAACAAGCCCAAACCACCGATCTTCGTCACCAGGGATAGCCCTAATGCACTTAGGAGTCACGTTATGGAGATAGCTAATGGTTCCGATGTAGCCGAAACCCTAGCTCAGTTCGCTAGGAGGAGACAAAGAGGGGTTTCGGTTCTTAGCGGAAGTGGAACCGTGACCAACGTTACACTTAGGCAACCTTCGGCTCCTGGTGCCGTCATGGCTCTTCATGGTCTGTTCGAGATTCTATCGTTAACCGGTGCGTTTCTTCCCGGACCGGCTCCCCCGGGGTCGACCGGGTTAACGATATACCTAGCCGGTGGACAAGGGCAGGTTGTTGGTGGTAGTGTAGTAGGGTCATTGATGGCATCAGGGCCTGTTATGGTTATAGCAGCCACTTTCTCCAACGCTACATATGAGAGGTTGCCTTTGGAGGAAGAAGAAGAGGATGCTGGTGGAGCTCAAGGTCAGCTCGGTGGCGGCGGATCGCCTCCGGGGATCGGTAGTGGAAGTGGTGGACATCAACAAGGTGGGATCGGTGGTAACGGCGGAGGCGGTGACAGTTCGGGTTTGCAAGGTTATAACAATTTGCCACCGAATTTGGTTCCTAATAGTGGACAGTTGAACCATGAGGCTTATGCTTGGGCACACGGTGGAAGGCCACCGTATCATTAAACATATAGGAAAACATTGCTTGTGGGAGATTTAGAGATACTTTCACTTGCATCAATTATCATAATAAGATCATCATGTTTAGTTTCTTACACTTATTTTTCTCTTTAATCCCATTTCTAAATTTTATAAATCAGATATTTCATCTCTATCAAATTAAATTCAATTAGCTTAACGGTGTTATTGTTTCTATATAAAAAGGATTACGAGTTAGAAATAGAGTTGGATTTTTCATAATTTTTTTAACTAATTGACAATGAATGCATACACACTATGTTCAACCTCGAGATCTTTGGGAAGAATTATGTTCTCTTTTATCGTCGTTCAATGAGTTCATAGATGTGGAACTTTAAATCTATTAGATTGTATGAACTAAACGAGTTAAACTTCGATTTCATAATGCTATTATTTAATGATACAAGTTTCTTGTTTCTTACCAACTTTGGGGATCAAACTAGTTATAATAGTGTTTTAAAAATAATAATAAGAAACATGATATCAAGAAACTGGCCTCTTTAATCTTCTCCTGCTGCAATTTTTCCTCCATTTTCATCATATGCAAAGCTCAGTATCATATGAAATGCAATGGAAAGGGATTCTTTCGGTTGGAAAGTAGGAAAGCAATAATGGGTTCTTGGCTGCATGCCATGTGCTATGCAAATTCTCAGTTTTCTTTGTGCATCGTCCTCGAATTTTGAGTTTTTATTAAAAACTCAATATCTGAAATATTAAAAAAAAACTAATCTCCTTAAAAGGTGACCGTAACATGCCTGTCAGTCCCTCAGAATCTTCAAAGATTGAGGTTCATGCATGCTTTCTGGCATAGTTCTTCGCTGTTTTCCTTTTAGAACTATCATGTCGCATTCAGTAATGATAGGGTGATTGACCAATATTTTTTTCCTCCTGTTTCTATATTTATACGAATGAAGTGCAAGGTTCTAGTCTCTTCTATCTGTCTTGATCAAGAGGTTTTATAATAACCTATAAAGATCATACGAAGATGGTACAACAATAACAATTCTAAATACGGGCACTGGAATTGTCACAGAAGTACAATTTTACTGATTTTCTTCAGCTCAATGCATGCATATGTATGTGTATCATGGGACTTAAAACCAAGATCAAGAAGATCTTCGATCTCACTCATCGCTTCTAAAGTTCCAAATGCTCATTGAGTCATATTTCTGCGCTTCCTGGCAATGGCTGCAGAGAATTTGCACAACATGAACCAATGTCTGAAGTAATGATGAAGTCCTTTAAGGACTTAGGTTTCCTTAAAAAAAAATATGAATGTAAATGATTTCACTATGATGGAACAATGCAAAAAGATGTTGGCATATCATATAGATAGATCTGCACTAGAATCCGGTTTCTTCAACTCGGTTTTCTGAACTTGTTCTCCGGCAACAAGAATCTTCGGAAATCGGGTCTTCGAATTTGTCCACCAACAACAAGAATCTTAACCTTTGGCTTGATGCATGAACTTGAAATCAAAGGATTCCAGGGTTTTAGCAAACAACAAGGTGTCAAGGACCCTCATCACATGGACTCACATGATGATGACATTGTTGATGAGCACCTTGGTAATTTTACCTACTAGTTACTTGCACAACATTCCAATGGCAAAGCAGTGGTAGTGGTGGAGCCCTCCAATGGGTTGCAGCCCCTAGCTTCTTCTTAAAAGTTGAACAAAAACCAATTAAACTATAATACTCTGAAGAGAGGATCCGGAAAATCGATATTATGGAGATGTGGTCCACCCAAATAAAGCCTAACCTGTGTAATTAGAAACGATTAGTTTATTCATTGATAATGGAGAATGATGCATCAGCAATTGAAATTTGAGAGCATGCTCACTTTCCAAGTCTGAAATGCTTGATTATTTTATTTCCTGCGGGTACCTGCCATGGGGTACATGGTGTCCCCAGCGAATTAGGTGCCATTTGACCTAACTTTCACAAGGTTGCACCTCCTATCCGGTTAGATAACCTCATCTCATTTCGAGTTCATCCCATTGATGTGTATTATACTTTCGGACATGATTTTTAAATTTTAATCAATTAAAACTTCTGGAAACCGTCAGTTCTCCATCAATGGAGATCTCGAAATAGACCTCTCTGTTTACGAGAATCTCCAAGGCTCCTACATCCTCAAAGGACGAGGATATTATGATCTTCGAGTCAGCTACAATGCATAAACACGATCCTTTTGATTAAAGAAAGGACCAGTAATATTTATAAATGTCTCACATTCCACGATTAAGAAGAGAAAGGTATCTTGATCTTGGCCTCCATAAGGTCCATATAGCCTCCTACTTTACCCTCATGAGTCATGACCTTTTCTCTTTCTCAAAACAACACTAATTAACAGTCGTCCTCTCACCGACTATAACTCTTTGTTCAAATTAAAAGGAGTGAACCCAACAGCCGACAATATAAACTTGTTCCTATCAACCATATGCATTTCCACATGGTCTATGAGTACGATAATGCACTCGCTTGTCTGCATTTCCTGATGAATCACTAGTTTCAAACCTTGTCATTTCTATGGAACAGAAACCTTTAGTATCTGCAAATGGATGCAATATTCAAAGAAATGATTCAACAGCTCCTCGTGTGAGGAGGCTAAAGATTGTTTGTGGCCTGGCAAAAACTGAAAATGGAGAGACGAAAGGACCACACAGTTACGATTGTAGTCAGTGGAGTATTTGTATGAGTTCCATGATGGGATCAAATCATGTCGGGACGTTTGATGTAGTGGTACTTTCAAATTTACTTCCCAAAAGATTCTTTCCATATAACCATCAAGTTGTTTTCCATTCCCCCTACAGCAGATCATCGAATAGTTAAGAAATATATATATTTAAATTGCAGAACTTCCATATAAATGAATCAAAATCATCATATCGGAGAAGTAATGGAATACTAAATCTTACAACCGTTTGCAGAAATAAAGGATTTGCTTTACATAATAAGAAGGATCATTGTCCATAAAGCATGCTGGATATAATTGAATGCAGGTGGGAGGGAGGACCTTTAACATGTGTATCAGAAAGTATGGGGGCACACTGATATTTTCCCCAGATAGAGTGCAGATATGGACAATTTTAGGAGAGGACAAAAGATGGGGGTCTTGACACCAATATCAAGGAAAAGGGTCCCACTAAATGAAACCAGATCTAGTTGACAATCTGACTGACTAGGAGTTGTCCTACAACAGGCATTGTCCTGATGTGAGCATCTTAGCTATTAGAACCCCTAAAATTCTGCCAGTATTTCGGGTTAGCCCCAACACTGCCCAATGCTTCATGGAGTTTGCCATGTAGATTTCTAAACTTGGAGTATTTGATAAAACAGTCGTACGTTTCTCTTTCGAGGTTAAACAAACATATCCTAAAAGCATGAATGGTCAAAACTTAACTGGCATTGACCTTAGTTTCATGCATGATACGAGATATGGACGCCCCCGCGTCAACCAAGGCCTGCAAATAGTATTCCCTTTCTTTTAAGGGAAGGGGTGATGGCCGATGGGGGGCATTCATACCTTGTTTTATGCATGCAACTAAGGTCAATTTGTCAAATTCTCTGAATATTTCATTTTTTATGGGACTAATACCCTTTGCAACTCTGAAAAGCAACATGTCTCTTTTCTTGGAGGGTAAGAGGTGTCATTCTTTACCATTCAATTTCATGACGCCTTCAGTGTAGACCCACATTTACGGTTGGTTAAAGGATCAAGATTGTACCATTTATGATGAAATTATTATTCTATTTTCAAAATATACTTGACATTGTTGAACTTTGAAATCTTTCTTTCTTCTTTGATTGTGGTATTAATGTGTAAGTCACCCTCACAGCTAATCTGTATCCCTCCCTCAAGGACACGGCCTGATGCATATGCTCAGGCACGTTTATGAGATTTTGATGACCTTATAACAAACATAAAATTTAGGCTTCCATGAAGAAGAAAAAAATTGAATTGTAAGAGTAAGTAAAAGTAAATCAATTTGTTCGCAAATTGTATTTTTATTACCTTAACAACTTATCTAATAAATAATCGCATTTCAAATAAAAAATATTAGCCGTAATATTAAAATTAGTTCCTAACATTTGCCGAAATGATCATTTTAGCTCATTTTTTTGAAACATTTTAGCTCCACATTTTATTTTAGGGCAAAAAGCTCTTAACGTTTGACCAAATAGTCACTTTGCCCAATTTTGGAATATTTTAGCCATCAACGTTTCATTTTATGATAGAAGATCTCTATTTGAAGCGTTAGCCATTTGTTAACTAATAGTTTCCATTCACATAGGACCCTTTTGCTTCAAAATGAAACGTTGGAGGCCAAAATGCTAAAAAAAGAATAGTGACCAATGTGACTATTTAGTTAAACGTTAGAGAAATTTTTAGACATTATGTCAAAACATTAAGAGATTTTATCAAACACTCAACTTCTCACACAAAACAAGCATGTCCTTTTTTAGGAGGATCATAATTTGATTTCAGTTCACTTCAACAACAAAAAAATAATTTGATTTAGTCATCTTCATATTGTCAAAAAAATAATAAAAGATTAATCATGTGAAAACTTAAAACTTAAAAATTATTACGTTAGTACCGTCGTTAATTTTTCAATAATGAATGACTAAAGTAGAAAAATATAATATTAGGTATGTTTTTGAAAATAATGATAATTGAATGAATAAAACAAAAATAAAGTAATAGATGAGTAGCTAAATAGATAATTTATTCTTTTTCAACTATATGTGAAACTCTCAATTTTGGACCCTCCGCAGGTGCCCCCTCCATACTAGATACGGCGCTGCCTATATTTTACCTCTAGACATGTCTGCTAAATAAATATTAACATAAATTTTTTTAAAATATCATTTTTATGTCGTTAAATTTAAAAAAATTCTACAAAAATTAAATTGTAAATTTATCCTTAAACTATTTTAGATTTATAAAAAAAAAATTCATAATTAGAATTTTATATGAAGTCCAGGGGTTAAAATAAAATTAAACCATTTCATTAAACCTATTTATCTTTTAAATTTTGTAAAAAAATTATATAAATTTTATGAATCTAAATTTTTTTAAGAAA